TTATCACAGATGTACCAGTTTAGGGTTTTTTGTGGTCAAAAAATTAGTTTAGGTAAATTTGTCACATGTGTACCAATTTAGAGTTTATCGTGGTATTAACTATTTAATTTAAAATCGCACAATTTCCTTAGTTATAGGTACTTATTAATTCCCTTTATGCACTTATCAACAAAATCCTTGACACTCGCAACTGGTCAAAACAAAATCGCACATTCCTTGTGGCGAATTGTGCCGCAGTTTAATCTACTCAATCAAATTAGTTGTTGAGACGCTTAGATCAAGTTCCAAAAAATCAGGATGATCCTTTGTACATTGTGATCGATGACTAACAAGAGTTTAACCTGAGCAAGCAAAATAATCCACACATTATAACGTTAGGAATGGGTAGACATAAATACTTTACGTGAATTTTTTTTTTTAAATACATGACAAATTTTGAAAGAATCACATCGAACACCGCTGGTCGGCCCTCCCGTCGGACCAACTGGAGTGGCCTAGTCCCTAATTGGAGCGTTGGGAGATGGAAAATAAATGTGCAAGGAGTGGGTGGGACGCATTTAATGCGAGAGAAGAAGTTACTATAAAAGAAGTGGTGCACGTACAGTGGGAGAAAATTGTCCAAAAAATTTTAAATCTATTGCACTTTTACCAATTCAATTCTAAACTTTTTAACTTTGCCAATTGAATCCTAAAACTTTTCATTTCTTGTCAATTAAGTCCATCCAGCCAATTTTGACCGGAAATCGTTGACATGGACGTCGGGCGGCCACGTGGCGCTGACGTGGATATTTTTATACAATGTTTTAATAATTTCTGAACTTTTTATGTTTTTCTTTTCTTTTCTCTATTTTTTTCTAGGTTTTGAAGTTAGGGCCGGCGAAGGTGGCCGGCCGACCCTCGCCGGCTCTGGACTAGGGCATCGTTGCCCTTGCCGACTTTGGGCGAGGGCTGCGATGCCCTCGCTCGCCATAGCTTTTTATTGCATAATTAAATTGGTTACATGTTTTGCATTGAGTATGCATTGTTGAGACGTTTTTGGTGATGTCTATATATTAATAAAAAAAAGAATATACTTTCAGGACCACATTGATCATGGTTCTTTTCTTGTACTGCCGGATGCTAGTTTAATTTTTGAGATGTTGCAGATGGGTTTAGAGAAGCTATTAAAGAACATCGGAAGGCTATTTAAATGAATCAAGACATGCCTAATCCATGTAATTCAATCTTCTCTAGATCTCAGTGAAAAATTTGTGCCTTTGTGGTAGGGATCTCTATATTTAGTTTTTGCTATGAATTAGTTAATAGTCGTTTAGCATATTCACTGTATATGTGTTCGCATTAATACGCTAAATTGCAAATTATGATCAATTATGCATGTTTATAATGTTGAGAGTGAACAGAATGTCATTGTGGATGGAAAGCGTGAAAATGTTGGCATGATGTGCAATTGATGCTACCGACATGTGAATGTATAACTTGTGAAATGTGCTTTCATATAAAATGTTCTCTAGGAATTGATGTTCTGTTTTATGTGTATGAATGTGAGATTGATCGAGCTCATGATGCCGCTTCCATAATTGTTTTGGCAAAGCAACAGATTTTCTACTCTGCTATACCATTTAGTGTTGAAGAGTACCTGGTGTTTGGTTTGGTAGAGGCCAATTTGTCCTTACTAATACTTACTCCTTCGAGCTACTTTTTATTGGAATAAGAGTAGCCTAGTGAAATTTTTTCTTGGAATGAATGTGTGGGTATTATGCCATCATCAGTGAACTTGTATGTCTAGCTGATTTGAGTAAAGGTCAGTGTGAAGAGACATAAGTCCAAGACTCCATGACTGGAAATGAACACCAGGTGAGATCAATTTTCATGTCAACGGAATTATTTCGTGAGAATTGTAGCCATGTGAATATATAACGATGGCATTTTACATAGTGGATTTTCCACTTTATTAGAATGATACAGTGATCTCAACTGAATCTATTCAAATGAGACAAAATCCACTATAAGATATGAGTTTATCTTTATGGAGGTGATGTAACTTGGAAATCAATTACATAAAAATTGTGAGGGAAATGACAATCTTGCTAATTTGGCAGATGATCTGATAAGGCAATTGATGTGGTCACTCCGAAGCCAATATTGTGGCTAATGTGAAAGAATGGGTGATAAACTCAAGTGTTACCAGGCATATATGTTGAGAACATAATGCTTTATCCTCCTACACTTTGGTAGAGGAAGGAGAAGAAAATATTTATCTTGGTGATTTGAGAACTGCTCAAGTTCTTGAGAAAGAGAAAATTCTTCTCAAAAACTCACATTTTAAAATGAGACTGAGTAGTTGAAAAATTTCTTAGCAGATTTCCTTTAGGAATGAAATGACACCTTCTATGTCTAGACATTGTGATTGCCAAGAGGCAATATCCATTGCAAAGAACGAAACTTTCAATGGTAAAAAGAGACACATCCGATTGAGACGTAATGTGGTACTACAACTGATTGAAGATGGAATTATGTCCATCGATTATGTTAAGTCAGAAGTAATTTTGGCCGATCCTCTAACTATACATTGAAGGGAATGGGACAAGCCAGTTGAAGAAAATCAGCAGTGATGGTAACCCAACTTAGGTAATTGGCAATCCCATGAATTAGGTTCATATGGCTAATAACAAGTCACTTGTTGATCTATGATGCACTATTAAATTATTTTTTTTGTCCCTCCTAAGATGAGAATAGCGCAAGACTACAAGGAAATTGAGGCTGAGCTAAGCTCTTAGTGAATTCCATAGCCTTTGTTAGTAGTGTATCAAAATGCAGTATACACTTGATGGAATCACATATATAAGTGTGGAGTGGGTCCGCTCCTACGAGAATTATTGGCGATATTCTCTAGAGCACTTATGAATAAACCAAGCACGCTATGGCCTATTAGCGCAAAACCGCGTTGAACAACAAACTTTGTGGGAAGTGTAATGTGATTGGTGAAAATCATAATTCAGAAAAGGAATTATTGGTTTATAGAAGTTTCCAACTTCACCAATGATTTTGTGAATTATATTTCATTCTTTCTAGGGCTGGTTCATAGCCTAACAAGGACCAGTTCCGATGCATTACACTCAAATAACCTAGCATTATTTTATGTTTTCATTTCAAAACCTTTTGAAATATGTGGGGGATTGTTAGATATTTCAGCAGTTTTGAAATATTGGTTATAATTTGCGATTGCTATAAAGTTATCATTTTGTAACAATTTTGCAACGGCCATATAACGGGTTTGTAACGTTTGATTTAATTCTTCATAAAGCCTCTATTATTTTATAACGGCCATATAACGGTCACTTTTAATAATTACCAATTGCTTTATAAGGGTTTCTTAACGGCTTTTTCCTCTTTCTTAATGGCTCTCTTTCTTGTACCTATAAATTATTACTTTGAGCATAATTGGAAAGTGATATATATACATATCAAAACAAGAATATTCTTTGTTTTTTCTTTTATATCTTTCCTTTCTTTACGGGGTTATACACATAACGTTGTTCCTGTTTCCTTCTAATATTCAGTACAGAGTATAGAAGAATGTTTATTGTATCTTGGGAAGATAGTCGCTAGAGCTTTACGCACCGAGTTTCGTACTCCAAGGGCGGAATTATCCTTAAGGACAGTGACTATCACGCATCAGACATTGATATTATTTTATTATCTTTTTCAATGGATTTCCAACAATTATTCTTATTTTTCCATGTTATCTAACAAATTTTTCCAACATGATGAACACACAAAATAGAAGCATTATTATGGACATTTTTACTATGAAAGAAAACAAAAAGAATAGGATAAGGAAGGTTTCGTCTTATCAAAGATGAAGGAAGAATAATCTCCTTCATGATGGCTCATAATTACATCTCAAGATGGCCACACATGAAGGCTAAGGGAGTGCTCCCATGCTGTAGAAGAGCTCTTAGATAACAAAAGAAAAAACGATACAAATAGTTTCTGAATTTTGGCTCAATGTATAATATAATCCTTAAACTTTTAGTTTGTTCATGTGTTTACCAAATTTTAGCTCAATATGCAATGTCGTTCTTAAACTTTTAATTTATTTAACGCGGTCCTTGGACTTTTGATAGATATTCAATTTAATTGAAAATATTTAATGTTGTACCTAAATTTGAATTAATAGAAGGACAATATTGAATATTTTCATATAGTTTAGGAATTATATTAAACATATTTCAAAAGTCCAGGGATCACATTAAACAAATTAAAATTTTAAGGACTATATTACACATTAAGTTAAAGTTCAGGGATTACATTGAACAAATTAAAAGTTCAGGAACTACATGATATATTAGGTCATAATCCAAAAATTATTTATGTCATTATGTCAAAAGAAAAGGACAAGAAAGTTGCAATGATGGCTCATCATTATTCATGATGGCCATTCATTGCAACTCTTTCTGCTTCACCGCGAGATACTCTACGTAAGAAGAGGAGCTCTCGTCAAAAGATAAAGTCAAGTGAGAAGCAGAGAAGAAGAGCTGAGACACATGTTGATTTGTGCAAAATATTTACATTCAATTGTAATCATGTAGTTCTGGGATTTATTAATAGATTATTGATTGTTGGCTCACTGTTAATGTAGGTTTCTACACTAGAAATAAACTACATAAACCTTTAATGTCCATTATTGTTCCTCATTTTGTTTCTCTGTCCACTTTTGCACGTTCTTCTTCCGCATTCAATTTTGACGACAGACTGGTGGACCCACCTACATGAAATCTCTCAACTTTTCTGGGGCAAGCTTGAACGTTGTGAACTGAAAAAAAATTTCTGCCTTAGACTGACTGGCAGTTGACGTCTGAAGACACCAAGTGCCGTGGTACCAGCAGTATTTTGCGTATTTTGGCTACATGCTGGCAATCATCGACTGTTGACTAAAGGTAAGTGTTCGATTCCAACTTTTCCACTACTCCACTGCAACCTTAATCTATATATCAACCTGTTGCGAGCATCAGAGAAGAGCATCTTTCTTCGAAGCAAACGTCTACTAAATTTAGCATTTTCATTAGTTTGCAGAGAGCTTCCATAGAAAGGCTAATGCAACCTTCTAAAATCAGTCAAGCCCACGAACGCTTGAATTTATGCAAGAATTGCGAGTGAGTGAATGCATCCTTTCTCACTAGTTCCTTTGCATAAATATCCCCAACTTTCTTTACATGTTTGGGTGTCGTGAATGTGTGTTTTCGTGCTCTACGTGATGGCATAGTCAATGTTTTTTTTCCTGAAAGAGATCAGAATTTTCAGCTGCAACCTTGATCCAGAGCATGTAATTTGGATCGCGGTGTCGCGCTTCACGAGCACACAATCATGAATCCGCATGTTTGTATGTAGAAATTGTCTGTGCTGTGGGAAGTTTGGAAGCTGAAGAATGTTCCTTTTATGTGGACCATTTGAAGCAGTGAAAGCAAAATACAAACGCAGCATCAGAAATGCTATGATAGTTTTCATGAGACATCTGAGTTATCTCTCGTTCTCTTTCTTAATTAGGTTTGTAGATTATACTTGTTAGATTAATGTCATGAGACCCGTTTGGAGGATGTAGACTGACCCGTGTTAGATGAGGGGTAAGAGAAAGAGTCACCTTGATTTTTCTTGCCTATCTTTCAAATGGTAATTTTGGATTTGCTTGGCGGGTGAATTTAAATAAGGAAAGTTGTTGCTGACCTGAGAGACTCGAAGGTTTTGACCAATTAAAGATTGATATCCTGCTTCCAGTAAAGTACATAGAATAGTGCGGTTAGATGGTGTGTGAGGTTAAAGAACAATAAAAAGACGTGCGTTCTGTTTTGATTTTCTTCTCCAGCCACCACCGCACAGTGGACGCACAATGAGACTTCTTTGAGCCGCTCATGAAGGAAGCTCCAAACGGCGATTTGTGCAAAGGATTCTACGCCAAATTGTGGCGTGTCCTTTGTGGAAACATAAGTGTTTCAGGCGGTGAGGTAATTCTCTGTGAGGTTGAACACTGGGGATTTAGATATAATTGGAGTGTAGGAAATACTCGAGCATGTGAGTAATTGTAACTCTGCAATTCTCCGACTGATTGGTAGGTTATCTGTTGCTAGCTCTCTCAGTGGAATAAGTACCGACATTCGGATCGAATCACGTAAATCTCTGCCGTTCTTTATTGTTCCTCGTTTATTTCTATGATTATTTTTGCATTAATTTAATTGCCAGATCCGTTATATCACAGCAATACTTGAGGTTGAAAGAAACAGTTTCAATGGGTGTTCTCGATCTGTTCGTCGTGGCCTTGATGCCAGTTCTGAAAGTACTCTTGGTTACTGCTGTTGGCTCATTTCTTGCGTTCAACCGTGTGAATCTGTTGGGGCACGATGCAAAGCAACACATGAATAATGTGAGTTCTCTGTGTGTAACCGCTGTATTTTGAAGTAATTCTTCTCCTCATTCAGCATCCTTGTTTTATAACTTCATTTTTCAAGAAGTATTTCATGGAATGATTACCTGCTTGTGTCTTGACAACTTAGCAAAAAGCCAGTGTCAAATTTTTTAAGTGACTTGAACTCCACCTTTTTCACCTCATTTGTGGTTGATGCCGCTTCAAGACCACTCGTGTAAAGTTTACTTTCAATCATCTTCACCTTCTGAAAACTGTATGTGCCAATTTCCCTTAAGGAGATAATAGGAAATTGTTAGATACTTGTTTCTGTAAATACAGAGAGTAGGCATAGAATTCTGAAACTTCCAAAGAGTTCTTTAGTAATCAGTATGCTTCTCTGCTGTTATGTTCAACAATGATGGGAATCAGGAAAGGTTTTTGCTAGTCTGCAATTTCCGAATGGTCGACATCATTGTATGTGAAAAGATAATAATGAGAGAGAGATCCTTCATTTGCTTCATGGCCTTTCTATTGTAAGGGAGCTGTTTCGGGTTTCATGGTAGGCAATGAATAGGTCATTGCTTGATAATCCTCTTGTAATTTTGCTTACTGAATTGTGGAAGTATTGGTAGGCAACGAATAGGTCAGTTTTGATGTCTCTCCATTCACAATTAAATTGGTACTGAGCATATCTTCCTCCCCCTTTCCTTTTACCTCCTTTTCTAGTTTTGTTCTTCGCCTTCACGTTCACATCTAATAAAAATAAAACTGAATGGACTGCATGTTATTCGAGGGTCCTTAACGGCCATAGTCTGTACTGATTCAATTATTCATGAGCAGTTGGTGTTCTACCTATTCACTCCGTCGTTGATAGGAAGCAACTTGGCCGACACACTTACACTCAGCAGTTTGGTTACTTTGTGAGTTTAACCCCCTTTGAAGCTTCTGAAAACATCCTAGTACAAGAGCTGATGAAATCTTTGCCCTTTAATTGTTTCAGATGGTTCATGCCGGTGAACATTCTTCTCACATTCATTATTGGCTCGGCTCTTGCTTGGGTACTGATAAAACTCACAGGGACTCCCCCGTATCTCCGAAGCCTTGTCATCGGTTGTTGTGCAGCAGGTATGTGTATATGGAACATTCTCTTCCTGATTATATTGTTATAGCGGACTGAAAATATTTCAATTTTACAAATCCAGAAAGCATATTATTTGAAGAGATATGATCGTTCTGAAATTCGGTTCACCTTTTTTATTTTTGCGATTTACCACCATAGTTCGTTGTTCATTGTTCTTAGGAAACTTGGGAAACTTGCCCTTGGTTATAATTCCCGCTGTCTGCGCCGAGACAAACAGTCCATTTGGAGATTCATCCACCTGCTCTACTAATGGCGAGGCATATGCTACCCTGTCTATGGCGGTATTCCTTTCTATTATACTTTTGTCTTTTTCCTTAAATTCCTCCAACTGTACTTTCAAGTAGCCATTGTTCGCCGATCAAATTGCCGTAACTGGTGGATAGTCCAAGTAATATATTTGCTCTGTCTTATCTAACTTGGTAACGAAGAGACAGATAGATCATACTACCAATAGAAAGTATGCCAACATTTACCAAAACTTGCATATAATTTGCTACTTTTAGTTCTCTATACAGTCCTTTTCATCTTAGTAATTCAATCATCTCAATTTTCATTTTCAGATAGGCGCTGTGTACATATGGTCCTATGTGTACACACTCATGAGGATATCTGCAGAGAAGACAGCTGAAGAAACGGACCCGAAGGACTCCACAGCGAGCCTAAATGCTGATGGAGTAACTTCAGGTGGACTTCCAGAGATCATCACGGAACCATTACTTGCTCCAGACGATTCTCCAAGCCCTAAGGACTGCATTAGCCAAGATGAAATTTATCAAACGAGGTTCGACGGAAAAACAAAGGTTCTTGACTTTGAGTTCTTCGATGACTTCGATTTTAAAAGACAGATCTTTAGTTGGACGGTTTTGGCCTATAATTGGTTGAATGTCTCATCCTGAAGTAGTATTCTGAAGAAATTTCTCCTCCATATGTCAATTTGCAAATTGACTGTATCATCCAACCAAAAATCTACTGAAGTTTTTTGATGAATCGCAAGTATGATTGTGAGTTAATCCTTAAAGAAGGCATTTTCAGTAATAATCCTGAAGGAAGTTTATATGTATCTCATTCCATTTCTCCAAATGCTATTCAAGAAGTTGATAATGGATCGTGTCAGAAGACGGTACTCAGAGAGACAGTTTTTCCTTGTTATGCTTACCTTATATCTAGGTCTTAAAATTTTATCAACTGCAATCATCTGAAATTGGTAAAACGTCAGGAGAGTACCAAAGCATCTGGAATATTATCACTACCTTCTAAGCTCATGCTTCCCTTTTGTTATAACTTATTCATGTTCATCGTACAACTTTACTGCAAACAACCTCCAGTGTTAAATTCTGTTTCCATATGGTGCTAATCATTTGATATGTACGTATTCTCCAATAAAAAGCAACCACCTCTGTTATACCCTTTGCATAAAGATACTTCTCTATCCCTAGTGTATTATATAAATGTCCTATGAGGTTATGCAACCTTGATGAATTTAACTTTCTTGCGTAATGATACTTTTGTTAGATATCATTCCTGAAGAAGATCAGGCAGCATATGACAACTATTACAGAGCATATTGACGTAAAGAAGTTGTTTGCACCTTCTACAATTGCAGTGGTATGCTCATACTGCCTGTTTTGTTCTGCCAGTTTCAATTAGTATACATTCATCAAAGCAAGTCAAAAGGATACAAAATTACAGCACTCTTTTGTTGGCCAAGCGAAGTTAGCGTAGTTGGACATTGCTATTTCAGGCTTACTTCTCACAGCTTCAAATAGATGGTTTATGACATCGGTTTCCAATTTTTCAGAGGATGTGTTAGAATGTTATCGGGATGTATAAGACTGCATTCTGTTTCTCCTGCTTATTAAGATTCCAAGTCACCGTGAATATGATCTGCATGATATTAATAAAAATCTGCTGAAATTAGTTTAGACTTTGTGCCTGTAAAAGGACTCGGAAGTGACTGTTTATTGTCTGCAAAAGTAAATGTTACGACTCGAAGCATGACAGACTCAATATCATTTGAGTCGTCTATCAGCCTCACTGGCCTCTTGCATTTTCCAGCTGACTTGTGCTTTATACTCTAGGGCGTTGTGCAATCAAAGAAAGATCAGAAAGCCAAAGAGATGACGTCTCACAAGATTTAACTCGTCTCCCTTCATCGTCTCTCTAACCATATAACTGTGTAGGCATTGAAGACACGTCTCACGAGACATTTAAGACACAGCTCTCTGTATAGTGTTTAAATGCTTTGAAGTTTAGTGAAATGGCAAGTAGCATGCCATCCGTTCCTCATGTAGCAACTCGTGCCAGCAACAAACATTCAATAACGTGGCTTCTTCATATTTTTCTTCTTCAGATTATCGGTTCCATCATTGGAGTAGCATCTCCAATCCGGAAACTCATAATTGGTGATGATGCTCCTCTGCGCGTGATCTACACTGCAACGAATTTGATAGGGTAAGATATTCATGACAATAGTTTGTTCTGCTCCTCATCAAAGTAACTTGGTTTTCAGTAACCAGTGCCTATTGCATGAAATTCCACATTTCTGTTTCTTGCCTATTTAAAAAAGAAATTTCATGTCCTCTGATTACTTCTATGTATGCTGCACAGGGGGGCTGCAATTCCATGTATCACTCTGATAATTGGAGCCAATCTTTTAAAAGGTAAAGTTTGAAGGCGGGTTTGATTTATCTTAAGCTTGAACCTTTACCAGCACTTCCAGGATCTGAGTGATTGCACCCATACAAAAATCATCTTATTCTGTTTGACGAATCAGGTTTGAAGAGATCGAATGTTAGTCCCGTAGTTATTATAGGAGTTATCACGATCAGGTATATTGCCTTGCCATTGATCGGTATCGGTATCGTTAAAGCTGCTCAACATTATGGCATGGTCGGATCAGATGCACTATATCAGTTTACCCTCATGCTTCAATATGCCCTTCCACCCGCAATGAATGTCGGTAGGTCATCTCTCTCTCTCTCTCTCTCTCTCTCTCTGTTTGTGATTGGTGGAAACAATTTATCCATTTGCCAACATTCTCTTAGCAGACCCAAGTAACTTGTGCAATCTCTTGGAAACACGAACATTGTCATGTCAATCTCGCCTTCTAGCAGAACGACCCGATTAGGACTGGAACGATCCAGTGCAGCATTGGCTCTAGCACTGATTTTGGCTTGGGAAATTGTTGCAGGTACAATCACCCAGCTGCTGGAAGCCGGCGAGAGTGAATGTTCAATCATTTTGTTATGGACATACGCTGTAGCATCCTTGAGCCTCACATTCTGGGCTACATTCTTCATGTGGATCGTCGCATAAGTACATTCCATTCGGCTTTACTTTTCCTTTTTCCGAATCCAGTGCGAAAACCGGGTCGTGGCCTTTCCCCGGGAAGGCCACCATTATACCTCAGTAGATCATAAAACTGGATGAACTTTGCAGCACAAAAATCTGTCATTCTTTTGGCAGAAGTAACCGAATCTCACAGATGAGAGAAAAGGATGAAAAGATACATTGGCAGTGCGAAATGTTCTGTTTATTTCCTACAGGTGTGACCTTCTAAAGCATCGGATTGTAACTGCGCGGAATCGGTATTCAATATACGCATCTGGTTTCTTCTGTAATCATTTGATAGACCTTTCTACGGTTAACCAAGAAGTACTTGCAATTCAGGATTATTGTGATTATAGGCATGAATGGACAGCAGATTGCTAGCGTTCCATAGCACTCCATATAGAACAGAGCTTCGTGCTAGTACATCGTGAACATGAGGTGGCAAATTGCTCACCCGGTCATGTGTTAGTAAAGAACAGGTTTCGACAAGTACCGCCATTAATTTATAAATCGAAATCTACCATATGTTTTAATGATGTATGTTGACACCTGATTTTTAACTCATTTTTTAAATTTTTCCAAAAATCGCAAAATTAGAATTAGAAATTTTGGCCAAGCTTAGGAACCTATTTCTAAACCAAAAATAAATTTTTAAAAATTTTCCTGAATTTTTCTTTAATTTCTTTTGATCAAAATAAGAGTGAAAATCAAGAAAAATAGCAAATGGAGTCCAAAAATTCCATAAAAATAGTCATTAGTCTTATTTTAAATCCAATTTCATTAATACATCATCAATTTTAGAAAATTTCAATTGGGAATGTGTTGTTTCCAAAAATTGGGTAAAAGCAAGCCCAAATTGAATGAAAAAATCAATTGAGTCATTTCTAGGCTATAGTGTCTTCACAACAAAGGATCCTGGAACCTTGAATTATATAATGATCGCTCCAATTGCACAATTTACTAAAGATATCAAAAAGCCCTAAAATCCAATTGAAAATTAGGGATTTTTAGCTCAAATTGGGGATCATTATCAATTTGAAATTGTCGAATCATGAGACCATCATTTCTAAGGTTAATCAGTCATGGGCAATCCAATTTTGGCATCAATTTTTCTCAATCAGGTCATTTAAGTACTGGATTGAATAGAACTCTAGTGACCCGGATTTTGCAATTTGAAAATTTTGGGTTTAATTGTGACAAAAATTAGGACAAATCACATATTTGGATACAAAATGTGATGAGGAATCCAATTTTGGGGTTAAAATTGGAAAATGGGGTTAAAATCGGGTCGAATTTGTGAATTTAGACCAACCTGGGTCTGCCGGGTTGGTCGGATCGACCCGGGTCGGCCTTCTCCCTCACCCGACTCGCTTCAAGCATTCTAAACCCAGAAAAATCAGCTCGTGCCCAACTCTTCGCCGACTTAATCCAGCCAAATGAGCATGTGTTAATCTCCAATTCCAGCTGGAGAATCTCCAACTGGCATCGAAAATTCGATCTAACCAATTTGGAGTCGTTGATAACCAACTTTGGGCGGGAAATCAAGTTACAAAGAGAGGAAAAAATCATTATCCGTGCAGGCCAGACGTTCAATGATATTCCAGAGAGAGAGAAAGAGAAAGTTAGAGAGAGTCTGAGCAACGAAGGTGTGTTGAGGTTCCAAGAACTAAGTGATTGGTGTTTTTCCAGTGAGAAAAACGCCGGCAAATCGACGGTGAACCTCCTCACTTGGAAAACCTGTGCCGGAGCTGGTTGCCAACGCCTGAAAATCAAGCTCGGGCGGCGTGTCCAAAGCTATTCTGGTGAAGCCAAGGCCACTGTCTTGGAGTTCAAGTGATAGGGAAGGACTCTACAGTTGCCGTTCGGTTCAGAAATTCAGAATCAAGCTCAAACAAAACAAGTAAAGTTCAGTCATGATCACAGTTTTTACAAAATTCCAGATTATGTATTTGAGCTTTACCGTGCTTGATCGTGTAATTTTTTTTATGATTTTGAGTTTCTTAATGCTCAAAACATGTTTCTAATCATATTTGTGTTGTTTAATTGCATTTTGGATCGTTAAATGTGCATTAAACGAGTCGGCCACCATTGTTGAACTTCATCGAAGCTTCCTTGACCTCACCGGAACGCCTCTTGTGGCCATAGGCCACTCAAGTTAGTTGATTCTCACCTTGATTGATGCTCTGATGTTGATTTTGATCGGTTTAGACTGCTAGGGCGATTAGAATAAGGATTTGAAGCTTGGAGAAGCTTGTTTAGGTCAATAATGACTTCGGGTATTTAGATCAGTTTTTCGCCGGCCGGCGGCAGTCTGACAGCGAGCTAGTCAGGCTAGTTTGATAAAGGTTAACATGGACTCAACACTAAATCAAGTGAAATGGTCAAAACATCACCGGAAGGTCACTGGAGATTGATCCGAACCGGCGGCCTCAAAAACACTAAGCTTGAAATTGTGTCCACCAGCTGCTCGACTAATTGTCCCAAAGAGAAAGTCTCGAAATGGCACCGTTTTGGTGTCGTGTCTCGCCGGGGCAGTGACCAGCACCGGTGCCGTCCGGTTTGGTTCAACCCCTGGCGGGAAAATTTAAAAAAAAAATAATAAAAAATTATGAAAATACAAAAAATTCTAAAAAAATAAAAATAGAAAATCCAGAAAAAAAAAATCCTTAAAAAATTCTAGGAAATCCTAAAAACAGAAAATTCAGAAAAATCCTAAAAAATATTAGAAAAAATTCAGAAATTCATAAAAATATAAAATTCAGAAAATTTCTAAAAAAATTAAAAAAATCATAAAAATTTCAGAAAATAGATAAAAATTTGAAAATTCTGAAATATCCATAAAAAATCTTAAAATTTTGGAAATTCCATAAAAACAAAAAAAAAGTAAAAAATAACTCTCGGAAAATAGATTTTCAAAAAAAATTAAAAAAATCAAAAATTTCAAAAATTTCAAAAATTCACAGAATGACCCAAAAACATTGTGGCCAACCTTTGCAAGTGAAATTAGAATTTTTAGAGGTGTCTAATCGGCATTTTTAGAAAATCCTTAGTTTAGAGGTTTTTTCCCCTAAAAAAACCTAAAACCCTAAAACAACACACATCGTCAAATGAATAAGCCTTTAGGGCTTTACTAGGGTTTGGGTATTTTGAATTGACTTTCATTTTAGAGACCCAAATTATGATTGTTTTGTTTGATTGCAATTGATTGTATTGCTTATATTGATTGAATGGGTTCTCACATTTAGAATGGTTAGTATTAGTAGATAGACCTCGGAAACTCGTGTAGCACGTTAGACACATCATATCGTTTTAGGTATCGAAAGGGCGTTAAGGATCTCGGCTTGGGATCATTAGCGTAACCAAGTCCCTGTATTCATAATCTCTGATTCGTGGAATCGTGGTATTTCTCCCGTACCCCCATTAGGTTTCTAGTCAACCTACCAATAATGACTAGTGGCGACTCTAAATTAAAAACATAGATTGGATATAAAGACAAAAATTACAACCCGCTATCACGTGAGGTATGGTCTGGGAGAAACCCCCCATTTGTCTAGTAATGAGATGTCTGTAGGACGTCTGTGGGACGTTTGGGCAAAATATCCATATCGGAACTTAGTAGCCCGTTCGGGGACAGTTTTCCCATTCATGACAAATGGAAGTACCTCCTTAACGTGCCCGAAAAAGGTGCAGCGCGACAATGTACCAATGTTTATCTTTAGGGGTTATCAACGTAATGAAGTTACCAACTTTTATTCAAAATTATCAATTTTAATAGGGATAATGACATAAATGATCCATGAACTTTGGTCCAATGTATAATGTGGTCCCTGAATTTTTGATTTTGTTCAATATGGTCTATGAACTTTAATTTAATGTGCAATATGATCTCTGAACTTTTAATTTATTCAATGTGATCCTTGGACTTTTGGTATGTGTTCAATGCAGTCTCTGAATTATATGTAAATGTTGAATGTCATCTTTCCATTTTTTCAAGATCAGGGGCAACATTGAATATTTTCATATAGTTCAGCGACTAAATTGAACATGTCCAAAAGTTCAGATACCACATTGAACAAATGAAAAGTTCAGGGACCACATTACATATTAAACTAAAGTTCAAGGATTAAATTGAACAAATTTGAGGTTCAGAGACCACATTATACATTGGACCAAAGTTCAGAGATCATTTGTGTGTTCCATTGTAATTCAATTAATGTACTGATATTCGTCTCATTAATGCTAACTTTATACCTTTGCCAATTTTTTTTCTTGCTTGATTTTGATAAGTAACGATATTTCTTTATATTTTCAAGATTATTTACTACTTTAATAACTCACCACCATTTATTTCGATGACTTACCAATGCATTTGAAGTTAAGAACTTTTTTTCGAAATTGTCAACCCTAATTTGACTGATGTAGAAACTATCACATTAAGATACTTACTAATTTAAGTCACCTATCAACATTTTATTTTGTTAGATTTGAAAAGTACGACACTTTTTTATACTTCAAAGATTACCCATTACTTTAATAATCTACCTACATTTAGGCTGCACATGGCAACCATTTTGTGCCCGGGAACAGATTCTGCTCAGAAATTATTCTTTTTTATTCTGTACCCGGGAACAATTTCTAAGTATTTGAAGGCGTTTGGTAACTGTCCAAAATTTCTATTCTTAGAATAGAAAAAGAACATAAATGCGTTTGGTAACTACACAAAATTTCTTTTTATTAATAATATTTTAAATTATTTAATATTTCTTTCTTTTTTTTTCCGTTTTTTCCTTGGCCATGGCCGGCGAGGGAGTCGCGGCCCTCGCCGCCAGCCTCGCCGGTCGCAACGGCGAGGTCGAGCCTCGCCAGGCCAAGGCGAGGCCGACCTCGCCGTCGCCGGGGGTAGCGACGGGAAGGTCGGCCTCGCCAGATCTGAGCAAGGCCGACCTCGCCGTTGCCGGGGGCGGCGAGGGCCACCCTCGCCGGCCCTGGCCGGTCGCTGGTCATCGGTGGCCAGTCGCCGGTGGCGGGCCGAGAAGAAGATGAAGGACAAATAAAAAAAGAAAGAAGAAAACCAAGAAGAATCAGAAATGAAAAATTTGTTCTAGAATCAAGAAGCTACTTTTTTTTGCTTCTTGATTCTGTTCCAAAATTGATTCTGGGAAGAATTTTTTGCAAATTTGTGCCCGGGCACAAAAATTTTAACAAATGGATTTCTGTTCCCAAACTGATTCTAGGAGCAAAAGGATAGAAATTTTTACTATTTGGTAAGTTGCCAAACGCCCCCCTATTCTTA